AGGGGTGGCTGTAGCTCAGGTGGTAGAGCAGGTCATCTACTGATCTGAAGGTTGGTGGTTTGATCCCTGGCTTCCCTAGTCTGCATGCCAAATATCCTTGGGCAAGATACTAACCCCAAATTGCTTTCCGATGCATCCATCGGAGTATGAATGTTACTTAGAAAGCACTTAGAAAAATGTGAATGGGTGAATGTACAAGTTGTGTACAGTGCTTTGAGTGCTCAGAAAGAGTAGAAAAGCGCTATATAAGAACCAGTCCATTTACCATTTATGTACATGCATTTTGTCTCTTTTACATTAAATTGCACAGAAATTAGCGAGACTAAATCCCTGACCTCCAAACTCATATTAAAAACAATTTTGATCCCATTTGTCAAAATTTTATGGTAGGTAATATGCAGAGGTGGCAAAAGTACAGACTTTCTTTACTTAAGTAGAAATAAACTGTGTTAAAAACACTCCAGTAAAAACTGAATTATTGAAGAAACTTCTTTACTTAAGTACAAGTGAAAAAGTGCCTACTCTGAAATGTACTCAAAGAAAGTAAAAAGTAGCTCCTTAAAGGACAATTCTACTAACCATTTGTGTACAACTGAACCTTGTATAGTAATGTAACAGTAAAATTATATTTTAACATATCTAGAATAAAAAAAAATCTTCTAATCTAAATTCTAATTCAAATCTGGTATGTAGGACACAAGGAAACAAATCCTACTTTCTGTTGCCTACATGGTAGAGGGTGACTTTGCCTCCATACCAAAACAGTCAAATGAGAACAGTCAGGGTTTACAGTAGGATTCAGCAGGTGGGGAACACTATGATCTCTGTAGTGGCTCAGCAAAGGGAACATATTGAGAAGTTAATAATTAAGCTAGAATTCAGCAAATTAAGCAAATTCTCTTCTACACTTGACGTAACTTAAATCTGACCATGAGTACCACAGCCACTGTGCACCAGTCCAACACAGAGCTTTACTGTGAGCTCACCACATTAATGCAAGCTAACCTGTTTATCTTTAACAAAACTACACAGAATCCTAATGCTACGTTTCAATAAAACTGAGCAGAAACTTCACGGTGTGGGTTTCTATGCCTGAGCAGCTCTTGTAGGCCATCACTTTTGTCCTTCAAAATCACTGCCTTAACAGTGAATTAACTTTTTTTTAGTTTGATTACATACTTACATTGCATAAGAGTTTATTCACAAGAGTGTAACAAAGATCCATAAATAATTTCTCTGCTGTTGGCTAACCGCAGCTAACAGATAAAAACAGCAGTTCTTTCTGACAGAAAAGTTCAGGATATTCTCAACAACTAACTTCAGTATTAATATCATCTGTCAGAAGTGAGTCTCACTGACACATCATCAGCCCATCCAGTAAAACTGCTTTTGGTTAATTTGTTTGCCTGTTTTATTTTCTCTTTTTAAATCTTTTTATGACTTGTAATCTTATGTGCAGCACTTTGTGATTCTGTCTTGAAAGGTGCTATAGAAATAAAAATTTATTTATTTATTATTTTAAACAGTGGAATGACAGCCTACCCGGTCCAACAAAGAGCTTCAGGGTGGATCAGGTCGGGAGCAATTTTGCTGTCTGAATTCACGAACTACAGATGAACACTGGCCAGTTTTGGGGGTAACTCTGGGATAAAAGTGTATAATACTGACAAATATTTAACTGACAAAGATCCAGTTTATTATTTAGTGCTGATATTATTCAGATATGTTAAAATATTGTGCATATACAAACATTACTGGAAATACACCACAGAAAAACACACAGTACGAGCCTCCTTAGATTTCAGCATTTCAGACCATTAAAGTTGCTTTTTTTTCCTGTCAGTTTTAGCTGAAGTTTCATGGCCAGGGAGCAACTGTTTACCTGTAATTGCACACACACGGGGGCATAGTAGCATGTGGCTAGCACTGATGGATCGCAGTGGGTACTCTCGCGTACGCCAGCTTCCTTCTACAGTTCAAAGGGTGGATCAGGTCGGGTTTAGTGGTTATTCTAAATGACCCGCAGGTGTGAATGTGAGTGTTTATGGTTGTCTCTCTTTCTGTCTTAGGCTATGTCCACACGTACCCGGGTATTTTTGAAAACGCAGATTTTTCTATGCGTTTGCACCTTTCGGTCACTGAAAACTGAGATTTTTAAAAACTCAGGCCAGGGTGGATATTTTCTAAAACTCCGTTTTTGCATTTACATGTGGACGAGAAAAACGGGGAAAATGCAGCGTCAAAGGTGTGAGCATTTTTTGACATCACACTGTGCGCCACGTTCTTGTTTCGGTGAAATGAATTTCTACAATACTGTTACTGTTAATTGTACTCTCTGCAGTGTTTAAAGGCTTACATATACACACACAGTTACTGTCCCTCCACACATACAACTCGGTTCTGCTTCTATGCCCCAGCTTTGTTTACTATTTCCCACAGAGGCTCCTAGACTTCTGATTGGCCAACATTTCTACATGGTTAGGAATATATCGCCACCTTTTGCTTTGGCATGTTCCTAGCAGCGTTTTCCTTCATTTCTGCCTTTACGTGTGGACGGGATTATTTTTTAAAACTAAATCGGAAAATCTCAGTTTTCAAAAATACCGGTGTACGTAGCCTTAGCCCTTTGACAGACTGGCAACCTGTCCAGTGTGTGCGCCGCCTCCCGCCCTGTAGCAACTAGGATAGGCTCATGCCCCCCTATGACTTCGATAAGCAGAATAGAATGTAATGTATGGCTGTACACAGATGTTTTC